GCACATATCAATAGATTACTTCTACAGCTTTTTGAATAATGAATTGAAATAACGATCATATATTTCCAACAGAAGTTTAGATGTATTAAACAGTCATAATAATATGTGATATTTTTTAATCAAATTAGTAGGGCCGAGAATTTAGTTTTTTTAAAAGAGAGAGACAGAAGATAGGCGTAGCCAAGCGTTCTGATTGGTCGTAATAAATAAATTGTTTTTTGTTTATCGCTATTAAGTGAAGACAGCAACTTGAATAAAAAATAAAATTTAGATTGCTAATCCAACATGAAAATATAAAAAATATGTCAAAAAAGAAACAGGTTAGTTTGCAGATGTGTAGGTGCTTGTAAACAAATACAAGTCTGTGCTGCTTAGATAAATAAAGAAGAGAATTTGAAACACCGTCTTGTAACAAAAATGTTTAATGAAATGAATTAAAAGTGAACAGTGACAAGCTGGCGATTTCGCTGGAGATCGCGTAAAGGAATTGCTCCCGGTCTCACTGGTAATTTTGCTGGAGATCGCACTGACGGTCTTTTTAAAGGTCTCGCTGGAGGTCACGCTAAAAATCTTGCTGACGGTCTCGCTGGAGATCACGCTGATAGTTTTTCTAGAGGTCTCACTGTCGGTCTCACTGGAGGTCGTTGTGCTGGCAGTTGTGCTAATGGTATGGCTGCCGGTCTCGCTGGTGAATTTGCTAGCGATCACAGTAACGGTTTCGCTCGAGATCACGCTGATGGTCTTTCTGGAGGTCTCGCTCGAGATCACGCTGATGGTCTCGCTGACGGTTTCGCTGGAAGTAGTTTCGCTGAAGGTTTTGCTGATGCTATTGCTGCTGATCTCGCTGATAATTTTTCTAGCGATCATGGTGATGGTATGGCTGGAGGTCTCGCTGGTGATTACGCTGACGGTTTTTCTGGGAGTCTCGCTGGAGATAGAGCTGACGATCTCGCTGGCCATCACGCTGACGATGTTTTTGGAGGTCTCGCTGGAGATTGAGCTGACGATCTCGATGGAGATATCGCTGATGATCTTTCTGGGAGTCTCGCTGGAAATCACGCTGACGATCTTTTTGGGGGTCTCGCTGGTGATTACGCTGACGGTTTTTCTGGGAGTCTCGTTGGAGATCAAGCTGACGATCGCGCCGGAGATAACGCTGACGATCTTTCTGGAGGTTTCGCTGGCCATCACGCTGACTATCTTTCTGGGAGTCTCGCTGGAGATCGAGCTGACGATCTCGCTGGAGATATCGCTGACGATCTTTCTGGAGGTTTCGCTGGCAATCATGCTGACGATCTTTCTGGGAGTTTCGCTGGAGATCGAGCTGACGATCTTTCTGGAGGTTTCGCTGGCCATCACGCTGACGATCTTTCTGGGAGTCTCGCTGGAGATCAAGCTGACGATCGCGCGGGAGATAGATCTTTCTGGAGGTCTCACTGGCCATCACGCTGACGATCTTTCTGGGAGTCTCGCTGGAGATCACGCTGACGATCTTTCTGGAGGTCTCGCTGATGATTACGCTGACAGTTTTACTGGAAGTCTCGTTGGAGATCAAGCTGACAATCGCGCTGGAGATATCGCTGACGATCATTCTGGAGATTTCGCTGGCCATCACGCTGACGATCTTTCTGGGAGTGTCGCTGGAGATCACGTTGACGATCTTTTTGGAGGTCTCGCTGGTGATTACGCTGACGGTTTATCTGGGAGTCTCGCTGGAGATCAAGCTGACGATCGCGCTGGAGATAACGCTGACGATCTTTTGCATTGACAACTTTGAGTGTTGCTGCAGCTGCTCCTGTTAATGGTGATTTTGCTGTTCCTTCAACTTCAACATCTACTGGAAACCGAGCCATGGTTGCATTGATGGAAGGGAGTAGCGTCCTTATTGAGTATCACAAAAAGAAAGATGTCTTACGGTTCATAAATAAACCAAAAGAGATGACTCGACGACTGTTACTCAGTATAATCGGTAGAGAACAACTGAAACGTCTGACACTCACAGAGATTAAATTAAATCCACTCTTATTTGGAATTCTTAATGCTGTTGAAAGTAAATTTTGATTTTTTTCAGAAAACTTTTGATTTAGTGTTAATATAGGTATGCAAAAAATAATTAAATAATCGGATTCTCCATTTTGTTTCAGAATTTACACTGCAGAACTCAGATACAGAATATCAATTAACGACGGATCAATTTAATAAATGTGTGACCTCATTTTTATATAATTTAAAGCATTAAAAAAATCCTAAATTAATGTAGCTTTTGTTAGTATATTTTTGATTTTGTAAAAGTTAATGAGTTTGAATCCATTATTATTATAAATTATTGTTATTATTAGTATTTTTGTATACTAACTTAACTACTAACTTAAATACTTATTTAATTACTAACTTGAATACTTATTTAACTACTAACCTAAATACTTATTCAACTACTAACTGCAAATGGTTATTTACTGACACTTTTGATGAACATCAGTTCATCTCGCTAAACATTCTGCGGGTTAGTTTGCTTACCATATTACAGTAATCATAAAAATTACCAGCAATACCGTCAGCGTGATCACCAGCGAGACCTCTAGAAAGATCCTCAGCATGATGGCCGGCGAGACTTCCAGAAAGACCGTCAGCGTGATCTCCAGCGAGACTTCCAGAAAGATCATCAGCGTGATCTCCAGCGAGATCGTCAGCTTGATCTGCAGCGAGACTCCCAGAAAAACCGTCAGCGTAATCACCATCGAGACCTCCAAAAAGATCGTCAGCGTAATCTCCAACGAGACCTCCAAAAAGATCGTCAGCGTGATCTCCAGCGAGACCTCCAGAAAGATCGTCAGCGTGATCTCCAGCGAGATCGTGAGCTAGATCTCCAGCGAGACTCCCAGAAAACCCGTCAGCGTAATCATCAGCGAGACCTCCAGAAAGATCGTCAGCGTGATCTTCAGCGAGACCTCCAGCCATACCATCACCATAATCGTCAGCGTGATCTCCAGCGAGACCTCCAGAAAGATCGTCAGCGTGATCTCCAGCGAGACCTCCAGAAAGATCGTCAGCGTGATCTCCAGCGAGACCTCCAGAAAGATCGTCAGCGTGATCTCCAGCGAGACCTCCAGAAAGATCGTCAGCGTGATCTCCAGCGAGACCTCCAGAAAGATCGTCAGCGTGATCTCCAGCGAGACCTCCAGAAAGATCGTCAGCGTGATCTCCAGCGAGACCTCCAGAAAGATCGTCAGCGTGATCTCCAGCGAGACCTCCAGAAAGATCGTCAGCGTGATCTCCAGCGAGACCTCCAGAAAGATCGTCAGCGTGATCTCCAGCGAGATCGTGAGCTAGATCTCCAGCGAGACTCCCAGAAAACCCGTCAGCGTAATCATCAGCGAGACCTCCAGAAAGATCGTCAGCGTGATCTTCAGCGAGACCTCCAGCCATACCATCACCATAATCGTTAGCAAAATTATCAGCGAGACCAGCAGCAATAGCATCAGCAAAACCTCCAGCGAAACTACTTCCAGCGAAACCGTCAGCGAGACCATCAGCGTGATTTCTAGCGAGACCTCCAGAAAGACCGTCAGCGTGATCTCGAGCGAAACCGTCACTGTGATCGCTAGCAAATTTACCAGCGAGACCGGCAGCCATACCATTAGCACATCTCCCAGCAAAACGACCTCCAGTGAGACCGACAGCGAGACCTCTAGAAAAACTATCAGCGTGATCTCCAGCAAGACTGTCAGCAAGATTTGTAGCGTGACCTCCAGCGAGACCTTTAAAAAGACCGTCAGTGCGATCTCCAGTAAAATTACCAGTGAGATTGGGAGCAATTCCTTTACACGATCTCCAGCGAAATCGCCAGCTTGTCACTGTTCACTTTTAATTCATTTCATTAAACATTTTAGTTACAACACGGTGTTTCAAATTCTCTTCTTTATTTATCTAAGCAGCACAGACGTACTTGTTTACAAGCACCTTCACATCTGCAAACTAACCTGTTTCTTTTTTGACATATTTTTTATATTTTCATGTTGGATTAGCAATCTAAATTTTATTTTTTTATTCAAGCTGCTGTCTTCACTTAATAGCGATAAATAAAAAACAATTTATTTATTACGACCAATCAGAACGCTTGGCTACGCTTATCTTCTGTCTCTCTCTTTTAAAAAAACTAAATTCTCGGCCCTAATGATTAGAAATGAACCGATCGAAAATTTTAAACCTTACTCTAGTTAACTTTTGATAACTTTTAATAACAATACCCACGCGGACATGTAAAAATGAAAATTCTAAATTTTTTTCCAAGTCAGTAAGCTAATCATTTGTTTGGCTTAGGGTGCTTGTAGAGAATGTAAAATCGATACGATTGGTATATAACAATGATTAGAAATAAACTGATCGAAAATTTTAAACCTTACTCTAGTAAACTTTTGATAACTTTTAATAACAAAACCCACGCGGACATGTAAAAATGAAAACTCTAAATTTCTTCCAAATTAATAATTTAATCAACTGTTTGGCCTAGAATCCTCGTAGAGAATGTGAAAACGATTCGATTGATGCATAATAATCATTAAAAATGAACTTATCGAAAATTTCAAACCCTAGTCTAGTTAACTCTTGATAACAACAGCCACGCGGAAATGTAAAAATGAAGACTAAATTTTTTCCAAATTACTAATCTAATCAACTGTTTGGCCTAGAATCATTGTAGAGAATGCGAAAACGATTCGATTGATGCATAATAAGGATTAAAAATGAACTTATCGAAAATTTCAAACCCTAGTCTAGTTAACTCTTGATAACAACAGCCACGCGGAAATGTAAAAATGAAGACTAAATTTTTTCCAAATTACTAATCTAATCAACTGTTTGGCATAGGATCCTTGTAGAGGAAGTGAAAACGATTAAATGGGTACATAAGAATTATTAAAAATGAGCTTTTCAA